CCTAGTAAGTTCGAAAAAAGACCCGATGGGATTTACTTTAACGGCTCCAGGATGTACAGCAACGCGGATTTGAGACCAAAAGAGGTGCCAAAGCATGAGGAAAGACGTTCCGAGCACGTGGAGCCCAACTTTCCAAAGAATCTATTARTAACCAATCAGAATTACCCATTTTACGACAACAAAGATGGTGCAAATGACTTTGYTAAGATGGTTACTTCTTTGGAGATTCCCGTGGGTCCTGCAACCTTCAAGACAAGAGTTAGAGATATTTTCAGAGAAACCGCGATAAAGCATAACTCAGGGAAAGAATCCAGAGAATGGTTATCAGGCCCCAACATGCGGTATTGGCCGCAGCAGTTAAACTTTGCCGTCTGGGCTGCTACTAAAGGATGCGGTATAGCCGCGGATATGTTCCATATTCCTTTCCCAAGATTCCACGTTGCTTTTACTATTCGTAGGATATTGTTTGAGTTAGGAGTTCCGCTTCCTGGTGACTCTGTCTTTAACCCAAAGGATAACAAATATAACAAAGTCGCATGGGAGAGACTAAAGAATGAGTTTAAGCTTACCAACCCTGATTTTCGCAACAAAGAGGGTGCCGCCCATGGTTTAGGAGAAACTTACACCTATGCTGGGGGTGCTAGCATAGAAACTCCAGGCTCAGACTTAGGAGGCAGCGGAACGAAAGGAAACCTAATTTACTTCATACAGAGCAAAGAGAAGTATCCTTGGGCGCCTTTCTTTGCCGCAAAGGGCATTGGCATAAAGATTCTCGCAAGGATTAACCGCAGCATCGAAGCCCTTGTCTACTGCATTCTAGGAGCACAGGTTAGCACTCGCAGCCCCATCGTAGATGCCAGTGGTGCGTCACAGGAAACACAACAAGTATTCCTTGTCCTCTTCGAAAGCGCTGTTATCGAGAATGAGATCTCTAAGTCAGTTCAAAGGTATCAACTTGCGGTGCAGAAATCAAAGGTTAGACTGGATTACGCCCTATCCCCTGGTTGTTGGTTGATGCCAAGTAATTTGGTTATTAACGTTAATCTCGTCGTGGGTTATAACAACAAGCTGCAGCGAGCAAYCGAAGATATGAAGTTTKGGGTGAATGACGTGAACTCTGACATGACCAAGGGCATTCCTCACTTCGTAGAGAAGCCAAAGAAGGTGCACGAAACGAAGCCGCCCAAGAAACAAAAGGTCCACGTTATGCCTGCGATACCTGAGGAATATGACCATAACTTACTAAAAGCCGGCTTAGCCACCGCAAGCATTGGTCTGAGCTATTATATATGGCGATGAACAACCCCTACGTAGCTGGAGTAGATTGTGTTTATACGACTTACACAGGCGAGAAAAAATACAACCAGGCATCTTGGGTGGACGTCACTGGAATGTCCGTGGATCTGAACTACTCAGGAAAGAAGCTGATAATATGCAGTCTTTGCATTGGCACGAGTAGTCATGCCAACGTGGGCTTTAGGTTCTTGGATGACAACGGCATACTGCAGCCTATGCGCGTGAAGACGAACAACAGGGAACCCGTGCATTTCTCCGTAGAGCCCAACCCTGGCAGCCTTGAAAATCATTCCGTTTGGACTTTCCATCTGGTCGCCGATACGGGAAAGGTCACGGTAAATAGCATAGAGGATCAAAGAGATTACGTTTATAATCACAAGAGAATTAGCACTCTTACGGTGCTTAGCCTGTAATATATATGACCAACCCACACGCGAAGGAAAATTGGTTTCTTCATTATTTGGATGAGGGGAGGTACCATAAAGATAATTGGTATGACACGGGATTGTGGGTAAAGGTTGGGGGCCTGGGATTAATTATGTGCACCATTAGTATTAACACGTGGAATAACTGTAATGCCGGGTTTAGGATCCTAGATGAGACCAACACCCCGCTGTTGCCTTATAGGAAAAAGATGAATACCAGGCCTCCGCCTCCTTTTACGTTTGACGTTGACGTTTGAGGGAAAACCAAGCGCCGGTGACTTTTCATATGATAGCCAATTGCCAATATGCGAAGCTCCAAATTCGTCCCARTGATGCTCACCCCTCGAATCCCTCCCAGTATCTCGGCATCGTTGTAATAAATACCACCATTGGGTCGAATGGCCTTGTGCCGGATGCTGTTTGGAATCATAAGCCCATTTCTACTATGACTGCCCTACCCCTGGTGCCAAATTACCAAGGCGGGGCTAATACTGTCTTTACTTATCCCAAGTCAAGGATGCCCAGGAGGCCCAACGACGATAAGCCCCCAGTAATACACAAGGATAAGATCAGCCCTTCACCTTTTTCAGGAGTACCACCCCAATAGCCACGACTAAGATCCAAATGTTATTTCCAAGGAACTTCAACAGTTCTCCGCCGGTCTTAAGTGCCAGGCTAAGGACACTACCAAGCAGCCCAGGAATGCTGGCTGCCATCTTTTTTCCCATATTCGTCAGTCCATTACCTAATTTCTTTACGCCTTTACCTGCGGCCTTAAGCGCGTATAGGACATATCCTACTGCGCTTAAAATGCCAACCGCGAATGCTAGCGGTACACCATACTTCAAAAGGGCCATTAATACCTTTCTCTTGGTGGTAAGCCCCAGCTTTTGCTCTAGGTCTTCTTTTTGCGCCTGCAATTCCTCAACTCTCTCCTGGAGGGCTTCTAAATCCCTTTGAGCTGCCTCCCTTTCCTCTTCGGAACGAGTTGGGTCATTTATCATTTCTTGCTTCTGCCTTACTTGTTCCTCCATGTCTTCCAAGGCCTGGGAAACTTGCCTAAGTTGTTCTTTTTTGGTGTTGATTTCGGCAACCAGATGCCGCCGTTCCTTCAAAGAGTTAGCTATGGTAACCTGTAAGTTTTTTGCTTCTTCCWTACTCATGTCTAGGCCTTGCAGGGCGAGCTCAAGGTTTCTTTGGG